AAAAAACCAACAACACCACCAACAACAAAACAACCCACGGTAGAGAGGCCTGTGACTGGAGGAGAAGGGGTACCTACGGTCAGGAAAGGTGGAGGCAGCGGCCAAAGCCATATTCTTTATGAGAACTGGGGAGATCTAGCAAGCTTCTAAAAGAAGGAACAATAAAACCTTTACAGACCATAAAGAGTTAGGTGTCCCACTAACGTAGGGTCAGATTTCACACATTCGAATGTGTGTGTGTCCATCTGTCCATCCACCTGTGCTATGGTCTTTGCAGGTCAGGAAGAGTAGAAATGAGTCAGCCAGTGGGTGACAACTGAGCAAGAATGTCTCTGACCCCAGGTTGTTTTCTCACTTCCAGAGGCAAGGCTTGTCAGAGACTAGCTTCCCTTTGCTGGAGCCTCAGTTTTCTCATTTATCGAATGGGAGATCATAAGATCTACCACCCCAGATTTTTTTAAGAGTGCACCCCACACATTGGGACATCAGAACACAGTGACTGTAAAATGTCATTATTCTCTCGTGGATCACAAAGGCTTTGACAACTGGGGACACACACACACACACACACACACACACACACACACACCATGAACTTCTTGCTGAGCCAGGTGAATAGGGAATCTGCAGCCCCGCTTGATTTAATTGAGAAATGTTCACAGTGCTAACTATGCTTAGCCCAAGTGAAATGGGGAGAGCCACACCAGTGCCGTGGAGATGCTATGCTAGGGTTAGGTTTTGGATAGTCTGAGTGGTTTAAGAGGATCCTTGGCATTGAGGAGTTTATTAAAAGAGTTGTCAATACCATAGATAGAGAAACAGAGGGGCAACAGTACGGCAGAGGCTCTGGAGGAGAGTTCAGACCCTAGCAGCCCAGATAGACAGCATGGCAGCATCTCTGAGGGGCCTCTGTGGCAGGAGATGGAGATTTTCCTTACGCCTTTGAGGGCGGGAGATGTCCACAGCAAGAGCCTGCGGCCAGGCAGGAAGTAGAGAGCAGGATGTGATGTCCCGTTGATGCAAACTCACTTCCCAGCTGAGAGACATCATGGTATCAGCTGGTCTGATGGCTTGGGAGTCACAGACATAATGACCTTGTTGGGTGCCTGTCAGTTTCTGTGGGAGGAGGACTGAGGTTCTAACATTACATTCTTATGCCTAGTACCCGAACAATGCGTGGTGAGACTCAGGAGGTGGAGGTTGTTGGGGAGCCATCAGGGCCAGTTTGCATGATCTTTAGTTGATTGACTTTTTCTTGGAGAATTTACTTTTGGAATGAATGTCTGGGAAATCGAGGTCTTTGATTTATTTTTAAAATCAGATAATTCAGGGCTGGAGAGATGGCTCAGTAGTTAAGAGCACTGGCTACTCTTCCAGAGGACCTGGATTTAATTGCCAGCACCCACACGGTAGCTCACAGCCATTGGTAACTGTAGCTCCAGGGTATCCAGCTTAGCCTTTGTGAGCACACATATACACACGTAGGCAAAACACACACACACACACACACACACACACACACACACACACACACAGAGTTAGTACAAGCCTACAGGTAGTCTGCCCTGTTAGGAAGGAGCTTATTTCTTCCTGTGAGAGTATTTAGCTTTTGCAGGAGGTGAGGGTGTGTGGGGGCCATTGGGGGCCATGGGGGTCCCATCCTGGCTCTTTTATGATCGTTTGATTAGCCCTAGAGCCTCTATGTTAAGACTATCTTAGTCCAGTGCTGGAACAGTGCCTCGCACATAGCAGCCTAATAAATATTTATAATCAAGTGAACAATATGCTTTCAAGAAGTGTTGTTTTCTATTTGTTTGTTTTGGCTTAGTTTTGTTTTTTGTTTTTTGAGACAAGGTTTCTCTTGTTTAACAGCTCTGGCTGTCCTAGAACTTGTTTTGTAGACCAGACTATCCTCGAACTCACAGAGATCCGACTGTTTCTGCCTTCCGAGTGCTGAGATTAAAGGCATGTACCACCACCGCCTGGCCTCAAGAAATGTTTTATGTTATTTAAGCTTCTGTAAGGTTTCTGCCTTACAGAAAATCAATACCTACTTAGAGCACTCTTTTATTTTTTATGTCATTTATTTATTTGTTAACTTATTTTGAAGACAGGGTCTCACTATGTAGCTCTGGCTGGTCTGGAACTCATCATGTAGACCAAGCTAGCCTCGAACTTACAGAGATTCACCTGCCTCTACCTCCAGAGGGCTGGGATTTAAATGCTTACTTCCATTCCCAGTCCAACTCAATTCAGAGTATTCCTTAAACAGCAAAGACACATGCCTTCAGCAAAGCCCGGCTCACGGTCACACAACCCACCCCTGCCATCTTTACTTTGGGCATTATTTATCACGTAATCACGCCTTGGCCTTGTTTCACAAGCTGTTGTCTACATTCATTAGCGGAGCATCGACTCTCTGGAAGGGATGCTTGGGAGGCTGAGCCAACCCTCTAGCACAGTTTACAGGCCAGACTATTATGAACCCCCAGGCCTTCCAGAGAAATTCCTTATTATTTATTGATTTATTGATTGGCAAGTTCTCATGTAGCCCAGAATAGCCACAATTCATTATGTAGTAAAGAATGAACTTCTGATCCTTCTGCCTCTACCTCCCCAGTTCTGAGATTACAGGCCTGTGTCACCATACAGTGCTGGGGTTTGACTCTACCAACCGAACTACATCTACAGCCCAATTCCTAACTTTTTGTGCCAAGTGAAACCACCTGTGTGTGGCTTCATCCATCTGAGAGAATCAAGTTCTAGAACCATATGCTTCTGGTAGCATCCACAGCTGCTCAGGGCGGTGCGTTTGCAGGCATCCCTTCAAGGCAGCACGGGCTCTAGAAAGATGAGCCCTAGACCTGCAGCTGGCTCCCTTCAGCGCAAAGAAAAGTGGAGTGATAACCGCGGATATTTTCAGGTTACTTTGTTTTTAAGTTCGCCTCATGGGTGAATATTATAAATATTATTACTAAGGTAGTCAAGAATTTTTAATTACATTTATTTGTGTGTATGGTGTGTGTGTGTGTGTGTGTATGGTGTGTGTGTATGGTATGTGTGTAGTGTGTGTGTATGGTGTGTGTGTATGGTATGTGTGTAGTGTGTGTGTATGGTGTGTGTATGATATGTGTGTGTGTATGGTATGTGTGTGGTATGTGTGTATGGTGTGTGTATGGTATGTGTGTGGTGTGTGTGTATGGTGTGTGTATGGTATGTGTGTGTATGGTATGTGTGTGGTGTGTGTGTATGGTGTGTGTATGGTATGTGTGTGTATGGTATGTGTGTGGTGTGTGTGTGTCTGTGTGTGGGGTGTGTGTGTATGGGGTGTACGTGTATGGGGTGTGTGGTGTGTGTGTGTGTGGAGTGTGTGTATGGGGTGTACGTGTGTGTGTATATGTGTGTGGGGTGTGTATGGTGTGTGTGTATGGGGTACACGTGTGTGTGTGTATGGGGTGTATATGTGTGTGGGGTGTGTATGGTGTGTGTGTATAGGGTGTGTATGGGGTGTGTGGGGTATGTAGGGGAGTGTGTATATATGCTGTGTGTGTGTATGGGGTGTGTATGTGTATGGAGTGTGCATGTGTATGGGGGTGTATGGGGTGTGTGTGTATAGGGTGTATATGTGTGTGGGGTGTGTATGGTGTGTGTGTATGGGGTGTATATGTGTGTGGGGTGTGTATGGTGTGTGTGTATGGGGTGTATATGTGTGTGGGGTGTGTATGGTGTGTGTGTATATGGTGTGTGTATAGGGTGTGTATGGGGTGTATGGGGTATGTGAGGGAGTGTGTATATATGCTGTGTGTGTGTGTGTGTATGGGGTTTGTGTGTATGGGGTGTGTATGTGTATGGAGTGTGCATGTGTATGGGGGTGTATGGGGTGTGTGTGGAGGTCAGAGGATCATTTTCAGGAGTCGGTTCTCTCCTTTTATCAGGTCATCAGAGGCTTGAACTCTCTCTCTGGCTCTAACCTGGAAACATTTTAGCTCCAGAACTAAGTGAAAATTCAGGTAAAAAGTTCATACATTAAGAATGGATGAAATTTACAAATTATTATTATTTGAAACATGAAGTCTATGAAGCTCTGGCTGGCCTCTAACTCATAGGAATCCTTCCACCTCTGCCTTTCAAGTACTGACATTAAAACCATGTACTACCATGCCTAGCTAACAAATTATTTTGAAATCAAGAAACAGTTGTAACAGAAGAAATGTCAGTGCCAGGAAGCTTCCATTCATTAAGACAAAGGTGCATTTCGAAGATTAGAAACAGGGTCAATCTGCCACTGACGTCGTCACTAGAAGTATCTATCTCTGAGACAAGGCTTCCACTAGAAGACAAACGTCCCCTCAGAGCCTTGTGGTGCAGGGCTCTCAGCAGCTTAGCAGAGCAGGGAGGGGACCCAGGGAGTTGGAGCTGTTCTTGCAGGCTCAAGGCCACCCAGCACCACAAAGGCCCCAGATCACCCAGCCCCACCCCATGCAGGTAGGAGTTCTTAGGCACGAGCAAACAGAATGAGCGCCAGAAGAGACATTTGGTGTTTATTTAAGATCAGCGGCCGCCGTTCTCCTGCCCGCCCACCCACCCTTCTATCTGTCTTCTGCTTCAGAAAAGCCTTTGTCTTTGGATTAGCCCAACTGAAGTTATTTTTCTTACCATCTATATGGGGGAATTTCTCCTACTTTTTCAACAAGAAAATAGCTCATGGGCCAAAGGAACCATGAAAATGTTTAGTCTCCAGAAAGGCATGCAGACGCAGGCAGCGGCAGCCCTGTGGCTCAACTTTACATAGGAAACATTCTCTCTTGCTTTTCCCTGCCACACCAGCGCTCGGTGTGTGACCCCGTAATTCATGACAAATGTTCTGTGGGATGCTCGGAGACACTTACTGGGGTGGGACGCTGCAGCGAATGCCATGCAGGTGTCCCACTGGGTGATGTGGAACCGGGGGCCTGCAGCTTGGCTCTCTTTTCTTGCCTGCCGATGTAGGTCACTCATCTGCTTTCTGCTTTCATTTGCCTCAGTTTCCCTAGTTGTCAAAAGAACGTATCGAACTAGATAATCTCCTTTCTAGATTAAAATTTTTTTCAATCCCATCCTACCTATTTATTTTGTGTGCATATATGTTTTACATGTGTATAGGTACACATGCCACAGGGTGTGTGGAGATCAGAGGAAAACTTGCAGGACTTGGTGCTTCTTACCACACGGCTTTCAGGGATTTAACTCAGACGTTCAGCTTTGTTAGCAAAAGCCTTTATCTGCTGAGCCAACTTGTTTGCCCCTCCTTTCTAGTTTAATGATTTACATGTTACCCTGAAATGAAGGGCGAGCTTATTGCATTAGTTTTAACTTTTTTTTTTTTTAGACAGGGTTTCTCTGTGTGGCCCTGGGCTGTCCTGAAACTCACTATGTAGACCAGGCTGGCCTCTAAATCACAGAGATCTCCTTGCTTCTGCCTCCCAAGTGCTGGGATTAAAGCAGTGGTGCTCAACCTTCCTAATGCTGTGACCCTTTTGTCCATACAACTCATCTTGTTGTGGTGACCCCCAACCAAAAAAGTATCTTTGTTGCCACGTCATAGCTATAATTTTGCTACTGTTATGAATTATAATGTAAACACCCGATTTGCAACCGTAGGGGTCGGACCACCAGGTTGAGAACCTCTGTATTAAAGGCATGTGCCACCACTGCCATCCTTGTTAACTGCTGTGACGAAGGACCTAATGACAGTCACATCAGAAAAGAGTGGTTTCTTTTGACTGACAGGTTGGGATGTACTCACTCCCTGGTTGGGAAGGCATGCCAGCATGGGAGTGGGGGCAGGGCTGAACCCAAAGCAGTAAGTAGTCTGTGCTAAGGAAGGAAAGATAATGATTTCTCTTTTATGTACTTGGGTGTTCCAGCCCAGTGTGGTTTTGCCACCCACAGTTAGAGTGGGTCTCCCCAACTTGTTTAACCCTGTCTAGAAATTCCCTCATAGATATGCTCAATGGTCTGTTCCTAAATTATTCTACATCCTGTCAAGTTGATGATCATGATTAGCCATTATGCGCCTAATAAAACTATTATGATATATATTATATTATAAAATATAAAATGAGTGAGGAAGGCCAGTGTGTATTTTTGGGGAGAGGTAGGGCACAGAGCTGATTTTAGTGGGTGCCGGGGATTGAATTCTGGTCTTGTGCAATGCCATTAACATTCTTTAACACCTAGCTACTCCTCCAGTCAAGCCTTGGTCTTTGAAGAACATTCATAATTAGGGAACCAAGGCAGCCAGGCCAATGGCCATCATGAGATGTTTGGTGGAAAGTTAGCAGTGATAACCTAAGAAGGTTGGCAATGGCCTGACCCAGGAGGACAGTGATTGATGCAAGTCAAGGCAGACCAGGAACAAAATAGTTAGAAACTAGTAAAAAGGCCAAGGTCAAAATAAGAAACAGTGAATGTAGCATGATTAAAGGCATGCACCTCTACTGCCTGGTTCCTATGGCAAACTAGTGTGTCTACTGGGATTAAAGGTGTGTGTCACCACTGCCTGGTGTGTAAAGCTGACCAGTGGGGCTGTTTTACTTTCTGATCTTCAGGCAAGCTTTATTTGTTAAAATATAAATGAAATATTACTATATTTCCCCTTTTTGTCTAAAATAAAAAAGAAGGATATAACTAATATAAGAAAACTATATACAATAAGTACAATGACTATACACTATATACAGACAATAAATACATCAACAGTGTCTAGTCCATTTGTTTTTGACAAATTCAGAGAAAATACTCCATATCTATCCTATCTCGGGAGTTCAAAGTCTTGTACCTAATTTACTTTCTATCATAACTTGCTTTTTGCATCAAGTAAACAAGGATAACTATCTAGTCTTTGACTCCCTCAGAGACCCAAGAAAGAAATAATATTAGCTGAGTAAGCAGGAAATGTGAGCAAGTGACTTCCAAAAAAATGTGAGAAATGACAGAAACAGTTGGCTGCCTGGACAGTCACCCAAAGTTCCTCTCAATGTTGGGGCATCTATTTTCAGCCTACAGGCCTAGCATATCTGATACACATTTTTGTGAAGCAGGGTATTTTAAAGGGTTATCCTTCCTTGTCTTGACAATGTTTGGCAGTTACTTTCTTTTGTGTCCTGCTTGTCCAATTAAGACAGCATACTGTCAGTGGTCAAGGCAAGAGCATGTTCTTGCCCAGTGGTTTACTTTTGGCACAAAGAAAGTAAACTCTGTGTGAAGTTTTTTGATGCCCATTATCTTCTCTGAAGTAGATTGGTGCTGCCAGTAGCAAACATGTCTCATTGCTATAAATAAAAGAGTCTATGTTAATAAAATATCTTAAATGCCATATTCTGTAGATCTCTGAAGTGTTTGAAGATGACCTGTCTATCTAAAATATATCTTTGTTTGACCTTGAAAGCATACCTAATGGGACTACAAGTTCTATTATAATAGGTGATTAACCTGCATTTTCTTATTATCCTAAATAGTTGGTAATAATAACTTTCCAAGACTAGAAATTTGCATTACATTGTTATTAAATGAGCTGTATAGGTACAATACCTTGAATAAGATTAGAAACCTATGTTCAGTATGTTTTAATGTAGTACAATTAATAAAAACCCAGAGACAGATATTGGAGTTCAACCTGAAGGTCAGAAAAGCAAAACATCCAGCCACTTGCTCTTACCTCTACCTTAGTTCAAAAATGGTGATCCTGCCTCCTCCTCAGAATGAGACTGAGAGCTGTCTTCACCCATATTATATTCTTCGCTAGGGCTGGGATTAAAGGCCACCACTACCACCTGATTTCTATGGCAAACTAGTGTGGATTAAAGGTGTGTGCCACCACTGCTTGGTTTGTATGGCTGTTTTACTATCTGATCTTCATGCAAGTTTATTTATTAAAAGTAAAATTTAATGAAATATCACTACAAGTCAGGGACTGAGCAGTACACACACAGCAACTAAAACAGCAGCTCACCTTCTCTCACCCCAGCCAGGAGGGGATGACTTCTTGCTGAGTGAGGTGCTGAAGATAAAGCTCCATATCCCAACATTCTACTGTTTTCTGGCCCAGGAAGAATCCTAGAGAGGTGTGTGAATGGAACGGGAATAAGAGTAAATCTGCCTTAATCTTAAGTTGGTGGCTTCAGCAAAGTCCTGCAGACTCCTGGCTTAAAAACATCAGAAGTTTATTCTCACAAGTCTGGAACCTGAAGTCTGAGATCAGGGTACCTCATGCAAGGCTTCATCAGGATGCCTCCATGCAAGGGTTCATCAGGGTGCCTCATGCAAGAATTTTCAGGGTGCCTCCATGCAGGGGTTCATCAGGATGCCTCATGCAAGGGTTCATGCAGGCTGCAGACCACTGACTTTTGGTTGTACCTTCTGATGGCAGAAAGAGTAGGGCGTGACAGATTCTGCCTTTGATCCCAGAACTCAGGAGGCTGAGGCAAGAGGACTGCAGAAAATTTGAGGCTCGCCTAGGTTACATAGTTCATTCTAGGTTAGCCTGAGTCATAGTACAAGAGACCCTGTCTCCAAAAACCATTAAAAAAAAAAAAGCAGTGCTTAACAAAAGCTAGCTAATTCTGCTACTTTCTTATAGGGTACCAGCCCCTTTCACAAGGGCTCTACTTTCCTCCTATAGTCGCTTCTGGGAAGACTGTATTCTGATACCACTGCACTAGAGTGTCCACATCTGAATTTTGGCCAATCACAAACATTTAAGTTATTGCATTGGCTAATGTTTTCCTGATACAATATTTGACTAAAATGTTCAGAACAATCTGCTGAAATTAAAGGTAAAACATGAATTAAAGCCATATCAATTTTGTTTTTTATTATATATTAATTGGACAAAATAATTGAACTCATAATAACATTTAATACATAAATATCATGTCCTTTGGTTATCTTTGCCCTTCAGCTCATTGCTCTCATGTTTTCATACGGCAATATTTATATGACTAGATATGTAAAACAACTATTGAAACTTAAAGTTCTGATGTAAATTATAATATATCAAACTTTGAAAATTAACTTAGATAAAAACTACTTAAGTTTTTTTTTAATTATAACTAAATATTTAAACTAGTATTAAGAGATTAAAAACTAGTTTTGAACAGCAGCCTACAGAATAGGAAAAGATCTTCACCAACCCCACCTCAGACAGAGGGCTGATCTCTAAAATTTATATAGAACTCAAGAAATTGGTCATCAAAAGAACAAATAATTCAATAAAAAAATGGGGTACAGACCTAACAGAGAACTCTCAACAGACAAATCTAAAATGGCTGAAGGACATTTAAGGAAAGGCTCAACATCCTCAGCCATCAGAGGAATGCAAATCAAAACAACTCTGAGATTCCATCTTATATCTGTAAGAATGGCCAAGATCAAAAACAATGATGACAACTTATGCTGGAGAGGTTGTGGGGAAAAGGGAACACTTCTGCATTGCTGGTGAGAGTGCAAACTGGTACAGCTGCTTTGGAAATCAGTATGGTGATTTCTCTGAAAATTTGGAAACAACCAACCTCAAGACCCAGCAATATCACTTTTGGGTATATACCCAAAGAATGCTTTATCATACCACAAGGACATGTGCTCAACTATGTTCATAGCAGCATTTTTTGTCATAATCAGAACCTGGAAACAATCTAAATGCCCCTCGACCAAAGAATAGATAAGGAAAATGTGGTACATTTACACAATGGAATACTACACGGCAGAAAACATTGACATCTTGAAATTGAAATGGATGGATCTGGAAAACATCATGTTGAATGAGGTAACCCAGACCCAGAAAGACAAATATCATATGTACTCACTCATAAGTGGCTTTTACACGTGGAGACCAGAAGAAGGGGCTGCCCTTCTGGAGCTGGAGTGACAGATGGCTGTCAGTCACCCACTGTGGGTGCTGGAAACTGAACCCCAGCCCTCTGGAAGTATGGTTTGAGCTCTTAACTGTTGAGTCATCTCTTCAGGCTCTCTCTACTCAAATGTTATTCAACTTGTGAAGGGGAATCCATCTTTAATATGGCAACATTGCAAACCACAAACTTCTGGGACATTTGGACACATTTCCTTTTGATTCATAGGCACAAGACAAGAGATGTGGAGAAGGCTTTCCCTGGGCCCTGACTGTGGCTACTCACAAGGGTGGGTGTTTAACATGACCAGATGCACAGCACTAGTGCCGGGTTCTCATCCTGAGGGCAGGAGTACTCTCCTGATCTTTAGCCCCTTTGTTTATTTTGTGTCTGTGATGTATGGATCTGTAAAACACAGGCTCAGAGAAAGGGCCCCGTTGTCGGAGCTCGACCAGACAATGGGTGACTCATTCAAGAGCTGCTAAAGATTGCACACTCAAAATAGAAAAGGAGTTGAGTCACAGATAAAGTTCCAATTGTTGGAGTGTTTCTCCGTGCAGCTGTCTATAATCCTTCCTCTTCCTTTATTGACAGAATTAATTATCATTCTCTGGTCCACTCCTACACACACACATACCCACATACAGGTGCGTGTGCACACATGCACACACGCACACCCATATTTTAATGTTATTTGTGTGGATGTTTGTGTGTCTGCTTGTCTACAAACTGCACCATATGGGTGCAAGTGTCTGGAGCCCGTGACCTCTTATCCCCTGGAACAAGAGTTACAGGCAGTTACAGTCACTTACCATAGGTACTGGGGATCAAACCCAGGTCCTCTGCAGGAGCAGCAAGCACCCCTCAGCCCTGAGCCATCTCTCCAGGACTTATCTACCTATCTATTTTCATTATTACTAAAACCACAACATGGGGCTGGAGAGGTGGCTCAGTGGTTAAAGAGCCCTTGTTTTTGTTGAAGGACCTAGATTCAGTTCCTAACACCCAATGATCATTCCACGACCATTTCCAACTCCATTTCCAGGGGATCTGATGCCCTCTTCTGACCTCTGAGGGTACCAGGAATGAGGGTACCGTATACATAAACATATGCAGACAAAGCACTCATATACATGAAAATGAATAAAGTTAATATTAAAATATTCTCTATATTAAAATGTGCTAATCCAATTCTTTCGATTAGACTCTGGTGAGTGGTGTCTTTGCCATCCTTCTGCCTCCAGCGTTTAGTTCCAGAGCTGGTAGCCCATAGATATTAGGTACGTGGGTAGAATCAAGTATGTGAACGGTGTTAAGGGAAGGGGTCCCTTTTTATCCTATTCTTTGAACTCTATTATTTACTTTTGTCTGTGTGTGGAGGTCAGAAGACAACTTGGAGAAGTCTTGGGTTCTCTTTCTCTTTCCTGGGTATGGAACTCGGGTCCTTAGGTTTGGCAGTAGGCACTTTTACCCACTGAGCCCTCTTGCTGGCTCCGTTTGTGAATTTTTATAGTTTTGGGAATTGAACCCAGGTTCCCTTATGGGCTAGTCAAGCTTTTCCCACCTAGCATAGCTTAGATGTTTCTTTTCTTCTTAAGTTTTTGAGGCAGGGTCTTACTGTGCTGTCCAGGCTAGCTTTGACGTATTGATCCTCCAACTTCCAGCTCCTAGGACGACACGTGTGATTTGGGAAATTTTTAAATACTTTCTAAAAGGTCTTTTTAATTTCTTATTACTGTATGCATGTGTACTGTATGGGTATGTCTGTGAGTGAGCCACACAGCACGCGTGTGAGATTGAAGGACTTTGGGGGGGTTGTTTCTGTCCTTCCACTGTCACCAGACTTGTGTGGCAAGCACTATTATCTGAGCCATCTGGCCCCAGCACGTTTTCATCCCTTTAAGATTCCACCCGGAAATGCAAAGATCTCTCCCCTTCCTATGGTTTGCTTGCAAACTGTTAAGCTTCGCTGGTGTTGTCTTTCTGTCACTAAGTACTCAGTAGTTATCTAAACCCAGCCTTTCCTGTCCTGCCTCACAGCGTTGACACTCGGATAAGCCAGGCAGTAGACACCGGAGCACTTGCAAGGACATTGCAAGGAGTCACTATTGTTAGGTCAATGGCTAAACTTAAAAGGAACACTGGACGTGTGTGTGGAAGGTTTGCAGGCTTCTGAGCCCTGTGAGGAAGGGAGGGAGGGAGGATTAAGGAACCTGTGAAGCTAAAAGAGTCTTGGAACAAATGAAATGTAGACCTTGCTCCTCCTGGAAGGTGACGCTCTCTGGCAAGTATTTCCCACACTAATGGGGCGGCGGGGTAACTGCTGTGTACAGAAGCAGCTCCTCCCATCAGGCACTGAGGAGAGAAGCCCTGTAACCTGAGACCTGGCTCTAGGGGCCTGAAATGTCTGTGGAGACAGTACCACAGGCAAGCTGGGACTGTGCTTAGTGTCTTATGCCTGGGTTCTGCCTCTCTGACCTAGGAAAGACACTTGGGCTGTTGCAGGTTGGTATGTTCCTATCTGTCAACTGTCTTTCTTAATCACTTGCCCTAGTCCTGAGAGGTAGCCTAGCTTTTCATTTGCCCCCACTCCCCCCCAACACCACCATTTTTGGCCTTCTGGGTGTTGGTAGCCAAGGTGTGCAGCAGTGTCTGTCCTGTGCTATCAATATAACAGTATTTGCAAATTCTGATTAATTCCCAAGCATCCTGCTAGGTGCAGAAGACAGAAAAAGCACAAAGCCAGCATGTACTCCAGCTGGGAAAAATTCGACCTCTATTCAGCTGCAGGTGTAAGAAGTTAGGGCCGGTGAGACAGCTCCATGGTAGAGGTGCTTACTGTGCAGTCCTTGGACCTCTGGAACCCAGGGAAGGTCTGGTGCGTCCCTATCTATATGTCAACCCCTGTCCCCAGAATCCGCATAAAGGTGGAAGGGGAAAACAACGCACAAAGTTGCTTTCTGACTTCCATGTGTGCACCGTAACACTACTGCAGCTCTTCTGAGCGCCTTTAATCCCAGTACTTGGGAGGCAGAGGCAGGCGGATCTCTGGGAGTTTGAGGTCAGTCTGGTCTACATATCGAAAAGAAAAACACCATATAGGTTTAGCTTCCTGTCTGGGGTGAGGGAAAAAAAAGTAGAAGAAAGAAAGATAGGAAGAAAGAAAGAAAGAAAGAAGCAAAGAAAGAAAAAGAAAGATAAGAAATGTGGATTTACAGACAGAAAACAAACAAATAAACAAAAACCAAAAAACATAAATCACGGAGACCCTAAGCAGAGCACCAACTGATTCCAGAGTTTATTTATTATTTATACTACTATTTGATTTGGGTTCCATGTGAGATTCTGCCTCAAAAGAATCAAATAAAAAAACGAAAAAAAAAAAGAGAAGGAAATGTGGTAAGTATCATATTAATGTTTTGTTTGGTTTTGTTTTTGGAAAAGCTCCCTGATACTGCAGGCTGGCCTCGAACTTGCTAAGTAGCTGAGGATGACCTTGAACTTTTCCTTTGTTTGTAGACAGGGTCTCACTGTGCAGCTTTGTCTGGCCTGGAACAGGCTGGCCCCGGAACTCACAGAGACCCACCTCTTATTTTCTCTCAAGTGTTGAGACTACGGGGCTGAGACGCCCTTCCTGGCTGACCCTGAACTCTGATTTTTCTGCCCCTCCTGAGACAACGGGAGTGCACCACCACGTCTGCTTTCATTTAGCGCTGGAGACTGAACCCAGGGCTTCCTGCGTGCTGGGCAAGCACTCTACTGATTGAGCTATACCCCAGATCCCCACATTAGTGCTTTGGAAAGAGACAGAGGAGCCGTGGGGCTGGCTGGGTTGATCCCTGCAGATGCTATTCTTTCCTTGTGTCCTTCCCTCCCATACTGAATCAGGGCTGAGGCACGGGGACAAGAGGTGCAGCGAACAAGGTGCCGCATTGTTGCGCTACACTGTGTGACTGCCAAAGCTGAGCCAAGAGGCGTTGCAGCTTCTTCTTTGGTCTCCTGAATAAGCAGTTGGGAAAACTAGTTGCCACGCTTCTCCACGCCATGAGGACCCCACAGACTGCCTCCTGGAGAGCTTGCCAACCAACCAGGTGGGCAAGCCAGTGAGCTGTGGGAATGACTTGTGCCACAATGGCAGCCAGAGACGAGGAAGAAAGGAGGTGTTTTGTGAGAAGGCAGCAATTACTGGAGCAGCGCCTAGCGCACAGTCCTCCTCGGGGCTGACAGGGGTTGTCTAGTAGATGTGGACAGTTCCCTGGAACAGCCCTGATGGGCACTTGGACTCAGCAAACCTGGCGCTCCCATGCCTAGTCTTTGTATATGGTTGCTGCTGGCAAGAAAGGCTGAATAGCTTGGCATTCTGAGTCAAGGACAAGGCAAGGCCAAGGGGAGTGGAGCCACGGGCAAGGTGGTGGTAGAGTTAGAAGTTATCACCACAGGGGAGTCATGGTGTCTGGAGCTTGAGAGGGTTGGCTGGTTACATTCCATCCACAGTTAGGAGGCAGAGGTGAATGCTGATGTTCAACTTATTCCTCCTTTATTTAGTTCAGGACACCAGCCTAGGGAATGGTACTGCCTACATGTGTGGTAGGTCTTCCCACCTCAATTAACCCAATCAAGATAGTCTCTCATAGACACACCCAGAGACTAACCTAGTCTAGATAGTCCTTTACAGAGGTGCTTGGGAGCTTGTCTCCCGTGTAAGTCTACGTCCTGTGACGCTGACATTGATATAATCATCAAAGCCACCATCCTTCCTCCCACGTCCTGTTGGAGCAGTTGGCTGAAGAGCCACCACCTATCACACAAGGCTTTTAAAAGCATTCCTTAGGTGCCTTCTGGCTAACACGAGCCGTACGGCAGCATCACACTCACCTGCCCAAACCTGTGCTGTGGCCGAGAAGTTATGAGAAGCTTCAGTCCCAGATCTCACCAACAGCTAGAGATTCAGGAAGTGGATTTCACTGGGCCCATTGTCTCTCTCTTCATCTCAGGCAGGATCCCAGACCTCTTTCCAGGCTCTAACCCTTGGCTGCTACAGTCCTCAAACCCCTTTCCTTGACCTCGCCTCCACTACAGGTACATTCTCTTTGTCCTTTGAAAACCCTATTCTCTTTGCCCTCAGATTAGGGCTGCTTATTTGCATATGTCCATCTCAGGGTCAGAGGTCAGTGTGAAATCCTGGCTCTCTAGGCTACTCCTGAACGCCCCTTCATCTTGCGAAAGACCCTATTCCCTTAAACTCTTATCCTTAGTCCCTTGCAATCCCTGGTTCCCTCCTGAACCATTTGGTAGACCCCTTAGTCACTGTCTATCATGCCTCCTGGGTTCCTAGGGTTCCCCTTCATTATAACTGGGCCCTTCGTCATCTATGTGAATAGATCTTCCGGATCACAGCTTCCTTCGACATCAATTTGTAAACTTCAACATCATCTCAGCTTACCTAGACCCAGTTCATCTCTCTTTATCACCATCTGTCTCCACCTGGTGCAGTGCCGTCCTTTCCTGCCATAGACTCCCTGGTCCTTCATCACCCTATCACCCTCTTCTAAACACCTCCAGCTTCCTCTCTTCCCCACAACTCCACTCTCCAGTTTACTTGAATCAACACTTAGCTTGGTACAGGACTCTTTGGTTGGTAGAATGTTTCATTTATTTTACTTTTTGCCACCCTTCTACCCCCCCCATCCCCCACTGGGTCTCATGTAGTCCAGGCTTGCCTCATAGGCAAAGAATATCTTGAATTGATTCCCCTGCTTCCACCCTCCAAGTGCTGGGATTGTAGGTATATACTGCCATGCCCGCCCAGTCTATGCAGTGCTGGGGATTGAGCATAGAGCTTTGTGTAACAACTGGGCTATAGTCTCAGGCCCCTTTAGAGCTTTTTTTGAATGCATAATTTAATTTTGTTTTGGTGATCATCTCTGACAGAGGCTATGAAGCAGGGTAGGTATCCATATTTTATCTAACAGGTGAGGTCCAGTCATAAGACTCACAGAGGTCAAGTGTCTTTTCCAGATTCATCCAAAGCTGAGGTTAGAACTCATACCCACTGGCTTTAACTCCACCTTGCCCTTCTAGAATAGACTGAGATTTGGATACTTGGTCTAACGGTGCGAACGGGATAGAGCACGCCAGCGGAAGGCCCAGGATTCTTAAGCAGCATGAGGCCAGGAAAGGGGGCCTTCAGAGGCAGAGGAACCTGATGATCTTCACAGACCTGCTAGAGGCAGAAAAATCCTATTCGGGATGCCAGCCCTGGCCATGACATGCAAAACCAGATGCCGTGGGGAGGACATGCAGTCTGAAACAGAACGCTGCAAGCTCCCCAGCCTTCTGCAGATCCCATTTTCTTTCCGCACTAGACTCAGGGACCCGGGGGCCCTGCGTCACTCAGCACATCAAAGGCATCCCCAGGTTTCCCTGCACCTCTCTCAGAGGCTTTTAACCAGCCTTTGACAATAAAATCGCTTTTAAATAAAAACCGAGACTCAATACTGGACAGAAAGGGATTAACAGGATCAGCCGGGGATGACATCATGCTATTTTTGTTGGCGCTTTCCCAGCACCAGTGTGAGGAACCTGGGAGTGGAGGAGGATACATATTTCTTTTCTTTATAACTGACCTGGTGTTCTAAATCTAGGCCTGGAAAAGCTAAGGAGCTGGAGGAGGCAGGCGGTGTTGGGAGCACTCCTTCAGCAAGGTACGGACCTGTGCCCCCTGAGAGGTAAGGGTACTGGGCATTCTAGGAGAGCCAGACTGAAGCGACTCTGATCTCTGACCTCTCTGACAAAGGCAAGGGAAAGGCCCTTTGGGTGATCAGGCCCTGAGCTTGTGGAAAGCTGCCCTCCCAAAAGTTCTGATACCACAGCACAGGCAAGGCGGCCCAGAGAAGCTGGTCTTAGCGCACACCTCTGGATACTGGCCACTAGACCAAGCCAGATGAATGCTGATTGGCCCAGTGGTTTCCAAACTGAGGGTTTTTTAAGCTGGGGAACTCGTGCTTTATTGTTTGTTTGTTTGTTTGTTTTTTCGAGACAGGGTTTCTCTGTGGTTTTGGAGCCTGTCCTGGAACTAGCTCTTGTAGACCAGGCTGGTCTCGAACTCACAGAGATCCGCCTGCCTCTGCCTCCCGAGTGCTGGGATTAAAGGCATGCGCCACTACCGCCCAGCTACTCGTGCTTTAATTAAGATTCCAAACACTAGGACTGGGAAATGACTCCATTGTAAAGTGTTTGCCATGAGGACTTGAGTTCCATTCCTAGAAAACCCAGCAAAAAGCCAGGCATCAGGGCGTACTCCGGTACCCCAAGCGGTAGAGAGGTGGAGAGTGCTAGACCTCTGGGGCTCACTGAGCAGCCAGCTAGCAGACCTGGCAAGCTCCAGGTGAGACCCTGTCTCAGGAAACAAAGCGGATGGTGCCTGTGGTTGGCTCCTGGCCTCCATATGCAAGCCTTCCCTGAGCCCCCTGAGCCCTCCCCCAAGACGGGAACCACACACTGTATACAGCAAACTGGAAAAAGTAACACTCGGGAGACTGAGGCTCTTTTGGCTGGGCTTCTCCTATGCTTGCTTATTGACCATTCAGACATTTGCTCAGCCACCCTCTCCCCATCCATCCCTGACATGATCACTGGAGTCCTGGGGTCCATGAGGAATGATAAAATAGGGAAATAGTCCAAGTCTCACAAGTCAAAGCCAGTGGTACCCGTGGATCTTCCTCTTTGCTGCATGTATGTTGCCTCTACGATCTAATAGTACTAGAAAATCATGACCATAGGAATATTCTCCCCAAACAGCAGTTAATGTTAGTAGAGACTATCTCATCCATCCATCCATCCATCCATCCATCCATCCATCAATTTATCTATCCATCCATCCATTTGTTTGCTTGCTTGCTTATTTGTTTATAATAGGGTCTCATGTATCCCACGCTGGCTGCACCAATTCTTGAACTTCAATCCTCCTGCCTCTACTTCCAAAGTGAATCACAGGCATCACTATGCCTGGTTTGTGCAGTGCTGGAACAAAACCCAGATTTCATGCATGTCAAGCAAACATTCTGCTGGCTGGTACCTGCCCCTACACCACCACCCCATCTGAATATCATCTTTTCTTAGTAATTTGGTTTTTAGGCTTTCATAGCCGTGGGATTTGGGTTCCAGGTCATGGTTGCCAGGACTGGGTAGCACGCTTTCTCTCTTAAGTCTAATTTCCTTATTTCTCAATGGTTCCTAAGATGCTCCTACCTGTCCGGACGCAGTCCAAGAATGGAGTCGTGTGAGAATTCTGAGGGCTTGTGAGAGAACTCTAAAGGCAAGAGGCTGTGATCTCCAGTTTCTTCGAAACATGGAATTGTTTCTGAAACCTGCCTTCACGCTGCTCTCCCAGGTGCAGCTGACAGGCTTGGGCTTACTTTAGCTGTTGTTTCCAAATGAACTCCACGGAAAACATGTTTTGGCACGTGTGGCTTGTCCTCGGGATTGGACACTTTGCTTGGGGACTCTTGTTAGCCCTCGGAATACAAATTGTCTGATGCTCTGAATAAAGTTGGCTATTGCATGAGACTTCAGTCGGCCTCATTTTCTGCCTCACCCTCCCAGGTTCATGCCGCCTCTACAGCAGTAAACAATACCTACCAGGGTGTTACTATGGAAGCTACCAACATTCAGCAGGGCAGCTTGAGGGAGATGGAAGAACTTCTGTTTGCCCTTCAGTGTCCTGAGGGGAAGGAAGAAGTTGGGTCTGGCTTCCCCACTGCTGGTCTCCCAGGTACATTGTCTCCCAGCTCAAATCCCGCTATCCTAGGGTGGTAATGTCTATCTACTCTGGGGTTTGCACTTGCTTGCTTGGTTTGGTTTTTTTCCCTTGCTTTTAAGAATCACCCTTTCTTTTACTCATGCAGCTTGAGTTTTTAACTTGCTCCCTACTAGAACCTGACTGACAGGCTTAATATAATGCCTGGCCTGTGGTTGGTGCTCAGTAAATGGAAACAGCTGTTACAGAGAAGGACTCTCTGCCATGGTCAATAAATACCTGGGCATATTACTCAACAGAACTCACAGAGTCAAAAGATACAGAGTTCAGTTTATTAAGCCAACAGAAAAATTGTATTATTCACATATGTTTATTTTTAGTTTTGACGTTGCACCTTCTGTGTGACAGTCAGCAAGATAAGATCTCTTAGGATTGAGGGCTGGAAAGATGGCTCAGTGCCTTACACACTTGTTGCTCTTGCAGAGGACCTGGGTTCAATTCCCAGCACCCACACGGTGACTAACCACCATCCCTAACTCCAGTTCCAGGGGATCTAAAACCCTTTTCTGACCCTCCCCTTCACTTCTGACCTCAGCCACCAGGCACACACACGGAGCATATGCGTGTATGCCAGCAAAATATCCAAACATATAGAATAGAATAAATAAACCCTAGATTTTTAAAAAAGATTTTTGGAAATTAACCTGCTAAGGATTGCCTGCCGGCTTTCTCGAAGACATTTCCTATCTCATGTCCACTAACAAGCAAACACACTAGCCATAGGAGGACTGACCAATGAGAGCTCTCTCCTGCATCTGAGCCAGAAAAAGAGTCCTACCTGCTCCCCAACAATGCTTTCTGGGAAGACCCAGAGTTAGTGGTACTATTGAGATGGGTCCTTTGTCTGGCTTTGAGATGGACGTGAAACCATAGTCATAGATATGAGGCTTCCTCTCTGGGACCCAGTGCTTCTATCTGAACTGAAGTGGCCAATGTCTTTGTTTCCTTGACTGCTGGAGCAAGGTATTGCCAAACTGGGGGAGAGGCCAGGCTTCCTTCATTCACAGGAGGCCAGGAGGCCACAGTCTAGCAGAAACCCCCACCCTCCCACCCCCAACCCCGAGCCAGCCTTCTTGGCTGGGTTAGCTTTTCTCTGATGGCTGCCTGAACCTTCTCTGGCTTTCTTTGTTTTCTGACTCTGAATTGCCCTTGCTGGTCTTTTCCTCTCTCCCTATACCTGAAACCTCCACAGTGGATCTAACATCCTAAAGTCCGCTCTAGCCACCTCCCTTCCTTACAAACCTCATTCCTGTAACCTGCTTGTCAGGAGGCAAGATGTTCTTTAAGGGATACTTGTGTCCCTTCCCATGGGTTATCAGACCATTGAAATAATAGTCCCTAGGGATATGGGGCTTCCCTAAAAATCTTACACTGGAAGAAGGAAAGTCTAAACCCGTGCCAGCCAAAGGAAGAATCTGTCTCCTGAAGGAGATGTCACACGGCCCTGATGTGACATGACTTCTTAGACCATCGTGTAGGAGAGACCAGAGCCAAGACACTGATGGTCATTAGGGGCCCTGCCACACCTTGGCTAGGACTGCTTACATTTTATCTCCTATTTGAACCTAGACCTCACATTAAAACCCCAAAGATGGGCCAGTGAGACGGCTCGGCCCATCTGAGCAACCTGGTCATCTTAAGCCTGATGACCTGAGTTTGATCCCTGAGCCCCACTTGGTGGAAGGAGAGAACCAACCCACGTTCGCTGTCTTCTGACACCACACGTGTGCTATGGCGCACCCTCTCCCCAAATAAATAAATAAGTAAATGTAATTTAAAAAAAAAGACCCCAAAGATGGACTTTGGAAGGGTGTCACTAGACTGGTCTGTTCTTCTTTCCAGTGTGGCCACACTGAGTAATGTTTTCCCTTGCCTTTCACTACTGTGTTTTTAATTGGCTTATTGAGGACAGGTGGCCAACCCTGGTTTATTAGGGCTGTCAAGCCCCAGGCTATGACTCTAATTCTGGGAACAGATCCAATCTAGGATGGCTGCTATGGGAAGATTATACTTAAAATTCTAAGAAGATAATTCCTGAGATAATGACTTGAAGACAGAAAAGGTTCTCTTGCTTTCCTGATACCATTCACAACAGCAGACATGTTGGCAGCAATCTAGGATTCCAGTTGGCTTCGTAAATCTTGGTAGCTCTTGCCTTAGGGAACGGGATACAGCTGTTAAGAGGATGATGACCTCTCCGTGAAGTCAGGGCACCCGTAAATGAATATCAAGTATAGAGGATAATCAATATTACTGAAATGAAATATACACAGGGTCTTTTCAGATGGCTGAGGCTGTGGCTCAGTTGGCAGACTGCTTGCCTAGCATGGCGAAACCCTGCGTTTGATCCCCTGAACTACATAAACGGAATGTGTTGGTTACTTGCGTGCCAGCACCTTAGAGGTGGAGACTGGCAGATTGGGTCCAAAGCCAGATTTATTTATTTATTTATTTATTTATTTATTTATTTATTTATTTATTTTTGAGACAGGGTTTCTTTGTAGCTTTGGAGCCTGTCTTAGAACTAGCTCTTGTAGACCAGGCTGGCCGCAAACTCACAGAGATTCGCCTGCCTCTGCCTCCCAAGTGCTGGGATTAAAGACGTGCACCACCACCGACTGTCTCCCAAAGTCAGCTTTTACATGGACGTAGTGAGTTTGAGGCCAGCATGAAGCAAGAGACTTTGTCTTAAAACCAATAAACTTCCAAGCGCTATTGCTTGTTGTGGGATAGTTGTACACTGTGTGACGATGTCATGCTGTGATTTGTGTAACACAGAGATGAATAACCAATAGCTAGGCAGGAGAGGATAGGTGGGATTTCAGGGAGAGAGGGGAAGAGGAGGAGGAATTGAGGCGTGAGGATTACGCCAGTGAGACACTGAAAAGGGCAGACATACAGTACAGAGTAGAGGTAACCGAGTCATATGGAAGAATGTAGATTAACAAAAGCAGGTTAATAGAAGTGATAAGAGCTAGTGGGACAAGCCTAAGCTAATGGACAAGCTTCCATAATTAACAATAAGTGTCCGTGTCATAGCTGCAGGCTGGCACACTCCACCGAGAAAGCGCTGTTACGATGGCTAGTGAAGGGTCTGGGGGAGCGGAACTACGAACGGCTTTCTCCCTTTAGTTTCTATCTCCTCCTTCTTCTAAAGTTTTAAATGTAAGCTTGGGGCTCGAGAGATGGCTCAGCTGTTAAGAACACTTGCAGAGGACCCAGGATAGATTCCTGTCATCCACAGGGAAGGTCATGCCATCCATAACTCCAGTGCCAGGGGTTTAAAATGCTCTCTTTTAACCTCTGAGAGCACCAGGCATGCACATGGTACACATCCATACATGTAGGCAGAACACTCATACACATAAAATAAAATAAATCTAAAAATGTTTATTTTTTTTAAATGTAAGCATAAGGATTAGGAGATGAAGCCATTGACAAGATACTCATGTTCCTATAATCCACTTTCTGAGCGAGGGTTTGCAAGGATGGCCCCAGTTTATTGAATTGGAACCAAAGTCTCAAAGTGTGCTAGTGTGTGTGTGTACCTGTGCACGTATGTGCAAGTAAGAGACAGTGCCTACTGAGCAGCCAGGAAAAGAGGCAGAGTCCCTAGCAAAGAGAGACTCAGGGAACACACACACAAACAGCCTCTATAGGTTCTGTCTGGGACAGCTTGAGGACACATTGTCCTCTAAGAGAAATGCCCCAGCTGATTTCTCAAATTACTACCCAGAGCCTGCGGAGAGAGTAGAGACATCCCAAGGGTGGGGAGCCTCCTCCTGGCTGCCTATAGCTCTTGGGGTGACATGAGCTAATGAGAATAGAATTCCCATAACCACAAAGGAGCTGGCTATTTACCGAGTCTACAAGGCCCTTCTGCAAACTAGGATTTGTTCGGTGACCTTTACCTTACTTAATGCTCACACCCTCCCTAGGGGAAAGGGCGCTTGTCTCCATTCTGCAGAGGAGAGAGTAGATCCAGAGAGGTTTATACCTGGCAAGGCCCCGTAGTTGGGTTTCACACTCAGGTTTGACTGACTCCAACCCCATCCTACATGAATCTTTATCAGTCCTCCATAAAGGACCACGATGCTGATTGCTCCTCCTCTACTTTGCCTGTCTGTGAAAGCACTGGGCCCGTGTGTGTGTATGTGTGTGTGTGTATGTGTGCATTTACAAAAAAATTACAACTGCTACTTACACTGTTTGAAGTCAAGTTCGTCTTGGTCTTCTTTGGGCTGACCTTCATGCCCAGTCAGGGAGACATTCAGGATCACAGAGCTTCTGAACTACCGGTGTTCACGTGACCACACAGAACAGGCAGTGTTGTAATCTCGGGGTCTGTGTGTGTCCGTGTGCTCACCGCTGGTCGAGGGCACATGTAGAGGCCAGGTGGTGATGTCAAGTGTTTTCCTCTATCACCCTCTATTTTTAGAGACAGGGTCTCTCACTGAGCCTGGGGCTCACCATTTCAGCTAGACTGGCAAGTCCCTAGGATCTGCCTGTCCCCTCCCCTTAGTGCTGAGGTTACAGATGTATGCCACGGTGCCACCATTTGTATTTAGGCGCTGGCAATCCAAACTCCAGTTCTTAAGCTTCCTTGGCAAGCACTTTATCCCCCGAGCTGTCTCTCCGGTCCCTAAACTGTCATGTTGATGCCTTCCTATTAACAGGAAAACATATGGTTAGCAAGCCCCTCCCCCGTCTCATTTATCAGCTTTCAGCCTGGAGCACATGCCTGTGGTTAAATTATTAACCCCTGCAACAGGCTAGAAACGATGACAGCTAGAATCCCCGAGCAGAACACACACACTCCTTCACACCAGAACAATTTGCTGGAAAATGCTGACTTAATAGTATCGGCCTAATTGCTAGGTGGAAGTGATGATGGTGATGGCAATAATAACAAAATTGCCCTCCAATTATTCCGAGAGACATTGCAACATCAGCTACCCTGCTCATTCCCCAAGAAGGAGTTTGTGTTTGCAGCTTCCCTTCACACCAGGCAACCGGCTCCCTGGGAAGGTAAATGATAGCCTAAGGAGGCTTTGCCTTCCTCCCCGAGCGAAATTTGACTCCTTCCTTTAAAAGCAGGTGAATGCCAATATCTAGGCAGGGTTTGGGCCCAGCTTCCAAATTTTATTGATTTCCAGGAACACAGAACCTATGGGAAGCCTTGGGCTGTGATTTAAAGTGGCCTCTTGGTGACATTGATTTTTGCTGTGGTTTCAGGGGCGGTGAGCAATACATGGCAGGAATGTGGCTCTTGGCTCTCTCTAGAACACAAATAGAAGCAGCTTTTGTAGGACCAGAAATCCAGGATGGAATCTTCCCTCCAGCCACAGCAGGCTGGCTTGCCTGAATGGCTCCGGCCAATTAAAGATGTGGGATTGGGATGCAGGCCCCAAAGGTCTTTCCACAAAGACTGGATGCTGCTAGGCCCCACTGTACAGACTGGACTAGGAGACAGTTCTTCTCCCTAAGTTTTGTGGCTACTCAAACCAAAAACTATCTGTGATTGAAATGTGGTCTAGGGACCGGGGAGATGGCTCAGTCAGTGAAGTATTGCTGTCTCGATTTCCAGAACCCACATAAAAAACCTGAATGGCAGCACATACATAATCTCAGTGCTGGGAGACAAGACAGGAGGACTCCGCGGTTCCCTGTACAGCCGGCCTAAGGCTAATCTGTGAGCCCCGGGTTCCAGTGAGCTCCTGGTCTCAAAAAACAAGATGGGCTGGGTAGTAGTTGTGCATGCCTTTAATTCCAGCACTTGCAAGACAGAGGCAGGTGGATCTTTGTGGGTTCAAGATCAGCCTGGTCTACAGAGTAAGTTCTACGGCTACACAGAGAAACCCTGTCTTGAAAAACCAAAACCAACCAACCAAACAACAATCCCCCCGCCACACACACAGAATAACCTAAAAGAGAGATGCTTTCAGCCCTTTGTGAGCCAAAGGATGAGAGGAAGGGGTTGACTTGAGTAGGTCCAGGACCAAGGGGAGGAGGAGCATTCCAGCCAGAGGCAACCACAGCAAATGCATGGAAGAACAGAAGGCGTTCGAAACACAGTCTTGTCCAGCATGGCCCAAGCTCATCTCCCACTGGCCTTGTTTGAAGCATTCACCTCTACTGTTTCAGAACCATGCTGCTCAGATGTCCTGGTACCATAGTATTTTTGTGGGACGGTCATCATATTTATGTATTTATTCTCCATTCTTTTACTAGAGGATATTTTACCATTCTTGAATTATAGTTTGTAATTTACAGCTATTATTTTAACTTATTATTTACAAGTGCATTTATAAGCTTTCTGAACAGGTAGGCTTGTGTGGGGATACTTTGCCTACTGACATTTTTACTGCACTGAGGTCAGAGAACATACCCTGTATACTCTCAGTTCCTCTGTGTTCTTTGGTATTGCCTTTGTGACTCTGGGTACATGGTTAACTACTTTATGTATGTCCTTGAAAGTAGGCAAGTTATGGAATTAGCCTGGGTGTCCACAGACAGATGACTGGATAGGGGAAATGCTGCATGAATTATACACAGTAGAGTTTATTCAGCCATAAAGAATGAAATCATGCCTTGTGCAGAGAAGTGGATGACACTGGAGATCATGATAAGCCAAAAGAGCCAGGACAACAAATATCACAACGTCTGTCATATGAAGAAGCTAGATTTAAAAGAAAAAGACATTAAAAGGGGCAGGGAGGATTTGGGAAGAAGAAAGAGATTGCTGGAGAGGGGAGGAGGGGAAAGAGAGGGTGAGAAGGGCTCAATTTGATCAAAGTACATGGTACACTATTATAAAAATGTCACAATGAAACCTTTTGATTATACTGTGGATGTGCACTAATAAAATCAAAGGAAAAGTGCTTTCCCCCTGCACTGCCAGCCTCCATAGTGAACTGGGCTCCCGTCTTCTCTATGCTTCACTTGTTTCTGTCAGTGTTATTTAACCACTTGATAAGAGAAATTACTGGAATATAACTGGGTTATCAACAATATCATTTTGAAAATAAATGTTGCAATTTTTTTGAGACAATGACTCTCTCTATAGCCCAGGTTGGCCTTGAACTTATAACGATCCTGCCTCAGCCCCATGAGGGCTAGAATTACAGGTATACCACACTTGACTAAATTTTCCAGCTTTTACTTTACATATTTTGCAGATATGCTGTAAGGTACGTATAGGCTCAGGATAATGAACATAATCACACTATTATTGGCAAGCTGTTTTCTCTATCAGTATTGTCCATGTTTTGTTTTAAGATTTATTTTGTTTCAATAATAAATATTTACTTATTGATATTGCTAAATCTGTGTTTTAGTTAGTATCAACTACCACATTTTTTTCCTAATTAAAAACAGATTCAGTTTTACTTATGTATGTGTGTGTGTCTGTGTCTGTCTGTGTGCCATGTGTTTATATGGTAAGCCAAGAAGGCTTGAAGAGGGCATCTGATCCCCTAGAGCATGAAGCCATAAATTGTTGTAAATTGTCTGATGTTCAAACCAGTTCAACCCCACTTAGACCAGTTCAAACTGTTTCAGACCGGCTCAAACTGATTAAGACCAGTTCAATCCGATTTAGACCAGTCCAAACCGGTTTAAATTGGCTCAGAGCGGCTCAAACTGGTTCAGACTGGCTCAAGCCGGTTTAGACCAACTCAGACTGGTTCAAACTGGCTCAGACTGGCTCAAACTGGTTTAGACTGTTTGAAACCAGCTCAGACTGGGTCAGACTGGTCTAGATCAGTTCAAACCCGGTTTAAACCAGTTTAGACCGGTTCAAACTGACTCAAACTGGTTCATACAGTTCAAACTGGTTTAGACCAGTTAAAACTGGTTCAAACTGGCTCAGACCGGTTTAGACCTGCCAAAAACCGGTCCAGACCAGTTCAATCCAGTCCAGACCGGTACAGACCAGTTAAGACCACCTCAAACAGGCTTAGACCGGTTCAGACCAGCTCAAACCGGTCTAGACCGGTTTAGACCAGTTCAAATCCGGTTTAAACCAGCTTAGACTGGTTCGGACCGATCCAAACTGCCTCAAACTGGTTCAGACCAGTTTAAGCCGGCTCAGACCTTTCAATCTGCCTCCACCAGCTCAAACTGGCTTAGGCCGGTTCAGACTGGTTCAATCTGGCTCAGACCAGTTTAAACTGGTTTCAGACTGGCTCAAACCGGTCGAGACCAGGCTCAAACCAGTTTAGACTGGCTTAAACAAGTTCAAACAGGTTTAGACCGGCTTGAACCGATTCAGACTGGCCCAAACCGGTTCAGTCCAGTTCAAACCGGATCAGACCGGCTCAATCTGGCTTAGACCAGTTCAAACTGGTCCAGACTGGCTCAGACCAGCTCAAAACCGGTTTAAACAGGTTTAGACCGGTTCAGACCGGTCCAAACCGGCTCAGACCAGTTCCAACCAATTTGTACCAGTTCTAGCCGGCTTAGACTGGTTCAATCTGGCTCAGACGGGTTCAAACTGGTTAGACAGGCTCAGTCCAGTTCAAACCGGTTCAATCTGGCTTAGACCCGTTCAAACCAGGCCAAACTAGTTCAGACTGGCTCAAACCAGTCTAGACCAGTTCAAACCGGTTCAAACCAGTTTAGACCGGTTCAGACAAGTTCAAAGCCTATTCAGGCTGGCTGTTCAGACCAATTCAAGCCGGTTTAAACTGGTTCAGATTGGTGTAGACCGGTTCAGACCAGTTTAGACAAGTTCAAACCGGTTCAGTCTAGCTCAAACTGGTTCAGTCAGGCTCAAATCAGTTCAGGCTGATTTAGACCAGTTCAGACCGGTTTAGACTGGTTCAGACTGGCTTAGACCAGCACAAACTGGCTTAGACTGGTTCAGACCGGTTTAGAGCGGTTCAAACTGGTTCAGACCGGACCAGGCTGGCTTAGACAAGTTTAAACCGGTTCAGGCCATTCAGACTGGCTCAAAAAGGTTCAGAAAGGCTGAAACTAGTTTAGACTGGTTCAGACCCGTTCAATGCATTTTAGACCAGTTCAAACTGGCTCAGACCAGTTTAGACTGGTTTGAACCAGTTCAGACTGGTCCAGACTAGTTCAATCCAGCTTAGGCCAGTTCAAACAAGTTCAAGCCGTTTTAGACCGGTTCACACCAGTTCAGTCTAGTTCAAACCAACTGAATCAAAAAATATTTACCAACCCCACATAGGACAGAGGACAGATCTTCAAAATGTAT